TTAGGGCAGGGTGGGGGTTAAGGTTGTCATAGTTAGTGTTAGCATTTTTCCCATTGAAATGAATGAGCGGTCCCTATAAGGATATGTTTACCCTTCATGTGCGTGTGTGTGTGTGTGTGTGTGTGTGTGTGTTTGTGTGTGTGTGATATCCAATTAATAAGCTAGATGACTGCCGAAGCTGCAGGTGTTGTTTTCTGGTAAGTACTATTATTAATTCTGTGACAAAGACAGATTGCTGCATTTTCCTTTGTTAGAGAAGTGGCCTCCCAATCGATGACTGCAAAATGTGCTGTGGTGCAGCAGAAATGCCCTCCTCTGCAGATTTCCAAAACAAACCCAATGACTTAATGCCAGTGATTGCTGCTTTCTGAGCTGGGTCTGATTGATGCCTCACTAAGGATGTTTCATTACATTTCATTTTCTTTCTTTCACATTACCAAAACAATATACTCAAAAAAGCTTGATCTGTATTTTCATTCAGAACAATTGCACAGTAACAGGTTACTATGTATTAGGTCCTTATATGCATGTTTTTACAAACGATTTTGGCGGCTCACACTAAAGCCTCGTGTCTTACAGTGCACGTGTTAGGAATTTTACACACATTTTGAAGCTTGTGCTAGAATCCGAATAGTATAATAAAGTCCAAATGTGCATCCCTAGGCTAAAGCTTCCTGGCAGTGTAACAACTCCCTCATGATGTCATCATGCTGAGAGACCAACAGTATCGCCTCTGCTGATAATGAGAAGGTTTCCTGCTAAACTCAGACAGGCCACTGGCAGGCAGGCGTGTTTTACTTTTTAAACTTTTTGATCTATTTTAACTTTTGTGACTGAGTTAGTTTTATCGCTTGGAACTGAGTTCAGCGCTAAAGTCCCCTTTTGTTAAGTTATAGATGTTAGTGATATTTTTGGTCATTTATTAGTAAATAGAGCAGAAATAGCGTGACTGCACAACATTCCACATAAGTACTGTATTCGCAAACAAAAAAAGGATCTCTTGTTCTGTGAATCTGTTTCGTATTGCGAAAGTTCACAACACCAATTTGCTTGTTTGAAGTTAGTGTCAACTGAACCTGCACCCATTTAGGCATGTGTAGGCAAAAACAAAAAAAATGTCTGATGTAATCTTCTTGATTTTTACTTTATTTGACCCCTGACACTTTCCAGATTTAACGAAGATCCTTACGTCTTTATTCAGCGCTAACCCGAAAGTATTTCAAAAATATTTACACGCGTCAAGATATATGAGCTCAGGACCAGAAATCATTCAACACCCCAACAAAGCCTAATGAATGAGCTCATCTGGGGGAACAAGAAAATTCCTTGTGCCAAAAATATTAACTATACTGATATAATGTCTTTATTTTTTTTAAAAAAAAAGGTCACTTATTCAAAGTCTTTAAACCCACAAAGATAGTAAATAAATCATAACAAATAATCTTCTCTAGCTATCACTTATTAGGTTACCATACATTTTAAATATATTTGTGCATGTTTTAATGTCCATAATTATTTAATAGCATAAAGAGAGTAATTCTTTATGTACTCAAATTTTTCTAATGACATTGATGCTGTTGATTTTCGTAAGGAAATGTGTTCAGTGCTCAAATGCTGTTCTGTGTAATTCAGCAGGGAGAAAAGAAGTGTCATATTTTTGGTTTGTTAGTGAGTGTCAGAGTCCTGGCACAACGCTTAATGGTATCACTCTGTGTATGTGAAACAGAAGAACAATCTTAATGTTGTGCCTGTCCAGAGCAGCCCTCAGAATGCAGACTAATTAAATCGCGACACATTTGACCTCACGATGCTGGACTGAACATGTCATCGAACCCAGCAGGCAAAAATGTACACTTGAACTAAGTGAAGCGTCTTCATTTCAGAATTGTGCAGAATGCTTTTTAACCCTTTAATTCATCCATATAGTGCGTAGCTGCAGGTTTCAGGCAAAGAGACAGTGATGGCTGATAGAGTAATATTACAGGAGAATCATTCACATATATTTGAATATAATGAAAAGATTTTTAAATGTTTTTAATGTGAGATAAACACTAGTGGCAAAAAGTATAGAAATTTCCAATTTTTAGAGATTGCAGAATTTTATTTCAATTGATCCAGTTATTTATTTAATCATCGAATGTATGATATTTGTAAACACTTTTTAGTTGTTTATAAACATTATCGCCAGTATTCGTGTAATAATTTTTAAAGCACAATGCCCAAAATGTTAGGTGTTTCAACAATTTTGGCCACTGGTGTTTATGTGTGTGTGTGTGTGTGTGTGTGTGCGCGCACACATGTGCAAATATGCATTTAGACTGTAGAATTTGTTTTAAACTACTTTTAAAACAGTAAATCACCTGATCACCTGTTGCTGTACAATATAAAACAACTTCTTGGTTGTCATAATTATTTCCACATTTAAATCAGAGGGTTACTTACCACCTTTTGTAAAAATCTATTTTCTGGTCAGGTGAAGATCTCGCAGTGGCTGTGAGATGATGCCCCTTCTCTTTGCTGGGTATCTCTGGCTTAGACTGATCGGACAGCCCGAGTTCCTACGCAAGCAAGCCGAACCAGCCTCCTCAGTTTGCAAGAGCAGCTGAAGGACCTGCCTCAGATCGAGCTGTGGCTCAGGGAGCCTTCTGAAACAGAAAGGCCCTTGGGAAGCCCGTGAGTGTGCGAGCGTGAGTGTGCGAGCGTACAATGTATCTGGGGGGAGTGAGGGGGAGCCAACTGGCTGGTATTTTCCACTCCCCGTAACTGGCCCATGTTCCTAGCAGTGCTTTAATAAGGGAGCTCTTGGCAGGGCTCTTAAGGGCTTTGAGATACCAGTGGTCGGTCGTACTTTGAAACTTTGTGCCTTTGAAACCAGTGAAGCGTGGAGTGAAGCACAGGGTGCAGCAGCAAATGCAGTTAAATTTGTGTGGTACAGACACTGACACGACACCGGAACTTGTGCTGGGACTCAAAGCAGCCTCTTTTGGGTTTGCTCATATCCCTGATGGCTACAGAGACTCACTCCAATTCCCATAATCCCCTGGGGTGGGACCATACATCAGTAGAATTCCTGGAAAAATGATGCCCTCCTCACCCCCTTTACTCCCCACACAAGCTGCCTGCCCCCTCTCCAGCATTATTAACACCTTTTGTTTTGCAAATGAATCACAGTCACTCAGTCAAAGTCACCCCCCAGCCTGAAGTCACTTCTTCAGCTCAGGTCTGCACTAGAGAGTTTATCTAGCGGTGTGTTGTAAGGAATTGTATACATGCTTTGTATATTGCATATATATATAGATTTAGCACTTTTGTGGGCACACACATCCGGAGTAATTTGCAGTCTAACAAAAGGTTGAACTTTACACATTACATTGCATAACATTTTTGGCACCCCTCAAATTAACAATATTTCGTTTTTACTTTGTGACACATTTATAATGCATATATACCGCGCTAATGTCATGCCAGGGTCCTTTTACCGATATACGTAAATCAATTTATCTTATAGCTCTAACTTTTACAACTAAATATGGTTACACAGATTGTTGCAGACATCATCTGTATCTATTTATTATATCAAATATAACCGCTTAAATGTGACACGGAAACATACACACGCACGCAAAGTATTTTGTTGTACCATAATATATTTGGACCGCAATCTGTTTCTGAGTAATTAGCACTTTTGTGTGCTCATAACTGCCCATCCTGTTTCACAGGTACATCATGAATAATCCCATACATAACCGCACACACGTCCCGAGTAATTTACAGTCTTTTGTGTGCTCATAACTGCGCAATCTTTTTCGCACGTAGCGACGTCAGTGTTTACATGCAAATCGCATTGCATCTCATAACTGACGGACATAGTAATCAGTAGTCTCTTGTGTGCTTGGTCTTCATACGGTCTTTACACATTGCAAGTTGCAAGTTCCATCTTTTCTTCATTACCTATAAAAATGCTTTGTCTGTCGGCAGATTTATAATGCATATACAGTATCGCGCTAATGTCATGCCAGGGTAATTTTAACGACATACATTAATTAATTTGTCTTTTAGCCCTGATCGAACTTTAAAAGTGAAAAACAGATTAACACCGATTGTTACAGACATTAAGCAAATGCATGTATTTATTCTATCAAATACTTTCGCGAAACTGAAATCGCAATTGCCGAATCAAGAGAAATGGGGATTCCGTTGTATTTCATATTATGATATATTAACGCATGTACTTTACGATTCCTCAGGCCACGTTTCTGTGCAGACCCGAGGCTGAAACCGTGAAACTCGCTTTCATTTGCAAAACAATAGGTGTTGATTGGCGCTGATGAGGGGCTGTCAGATTGTATGGTGGGGGGGTCCACCTGAGGTGCATCCGAGAATTTTCGTAGGCTTCAGGGATTCATTAAACACAGCAAATGTAATTGCACTGAGCTACTAATGTGGTTTTGCACAGTAAATGCAATCTGTGAAATGGCTTTAGTACTAAATTAGTTTCTAGATGTTCAGAAACAATTGTTGGGGCAATGTGTGAATGAGGACGCCAGAACTGTGATCTGATGGTTGCTGGTTCAAATCCCATGGTCAGCAGAGTGATTGGGCCCTTGGGCAAGGCCCTTAACCACCAGTGCTCCAAGGACTGTCTAACTCTGCTGTCTCAACCATGCATCACTTTGGATAAAAGCTACTGCTAAATTTATAAATGTAATTCTTGAGGCCTGTTCATTACAATAAGTGTTTTGATCAAGGGTGCTGCACAATCTGAGAGTGATTACCAAGGACAGACTGGTCTGTCTGCTCCGTCGTAGGATAGGAAACCACAGGTTATCATGCTTTAATAGCATATTTCCTACTTTCCAAAAGCCTGTACTATCACCCTACGGCCCCAAATTATGGTTAGGGTTAGCAAACAAAGGCTAGGGTTAGGATCAGAAAAAGTATGGCATTTTCAGGCATCAACATGTGTTTTTATGACAGGTCTGCTCCCCCGTAGGATAGGAAAGCACAGTTTAGCATGCTTTAGTAGCATATTTCCTACTTCCCAACACCCTGTTGTTTCACCCTAAGCCCCCAAATTAGGGTTAGCTGTATAAATGAATAAAAAATCAAAACTGAATCTGTTTAGGCCTCTGCATATAATAAGAACATTAAAGGCACTACCATAAAACAGAAACAAGTAAAGTATGTTTTCTTCAGACTGGATGTTCACCATATGTGATTCTGCAGATCTGACTGTGAAGCCAAGACTTGCTATTAATCACTTCTCTCATCCACCAGGCACTTGCTTGTAATTAAACTTGTTTACTCTTTATATTTTATATTTTTATTGTCCTGTGAACTAGAGTTGTACACTAATTAATCCGAAAATATTCGAAATGTGCTGGAAACAACGTCATTGAACAATGTTCTAAACATTCCCACGCAAGTTCTCCTGGGGTGGGGCGTGACTCAGCAAGTGCTCATGTCCTGAAGGTTGTGGGGTCGAATCCATTAGCTAGCAGAGTATCATAACACCAACCTACTGGGATACCAGCTTACTCTGCTCTCTGATTCCCTCTTGTATACCACTTTGGACATAAGCGTTTCCTAAATAAATGTAACAAAAACTCCTCTAGGTCAATGAGTTGTTACAGAAATGTCTTGTTCCACATCTTTAGTATCAGTCTTGCTGCTACAAAACTAGAAAAGCACACAGATTCAGCTTCCTGTATCAGGGGTTTCTTACAAAAGAAGCAAACACCCTTTCTCATATAGAGGCAGGGAATTTTTTTACTTCTCCACTTTGGTCTCCAAAAAGATGGAATCAGTTTGCAGTCAGAGAAAGGCAAAAAAATGCCTGAATGTAGACAAAGTACAGAAAATCTCCCCAAAGTCAAAGAACACAGCTTTAGGGGATTGTTGGGTAAGGATGGGAAGTTTGCATCACAAGTGAGTAAAACGACTTAATCGTTTCATTAGAAAGGAGCCATATGTGGTTTTGTTTAACAACATTCCACACAAGATTTTTTTTCCTTTGTATTGCAAAACAAAGGGAAATTGGACGCCTTGATCTAAGCTTCTGCCCTTGTACATCTAAGGGAGTAACTGGAAATGATAGCGAGTCGAGTTACACCAACATTATTGCCTTCAGCTCTAATAGGAGTCGGAATGGTCACCCTGCACTAGTACTGCACTGTAGACCATGAACTTTGGCTCATACCGAAGGCAGCTGGATGAGATACATAGATTCATAAGCCATTAGGAAGTCAGATGTGCCGGAAAATGAGGACGGCCGTCGCTTGTCTATCTAGGAATTCAATGCTGAACCTATATTATTTTTGTTTGCCATTTTCACTCATGATTCTCTGTAACTCCAATGGTCACTTCAAAAATGTGTTAAAACATTTAAAAACCAAGAAACAAGATGGTAAATGGAGTTTAGTAAAGACAATAAGGTATTAGGAAGTGAATGTGTAGCTATAGTGAAAGGACTGTCCTGTAATTGGCTGATTTTAGTGTGCACCCGGCCATCTTGGTTTTAGCACTCTGCTCTGGGGGACTCATTGTACTGTACAACGATTCCATTTGTTCCCCCCCCCCCCCCCCACACACACACACACACATCCTCTTTGCCCAGAGCATCTCTGTGTCAGACATTCCATGCAATAGAACTGAAGGTTCAATCATCATCATCATCATCATCAGTAAGTCCATATTACCCCCACGTTTTCTGTGTTTCCAGTCCCTTGTGGGAATCCTAATCCCCCCCCCCTCCCAAATTCCAAAAGCCCCTCTTTCCCCCTCCCCCTGTCTTAACTCCCATCTCTTGGCTTACAGGAGCCTCCCAAACATCACGCCCTGTGAGTTTGTGGTGGGTTCACCGAGGCGTCCTTCCTTTCTTTCTGCCCCGTATTTCCCACCTTTCCTCTGGATCTTGCCCCCATCCCCCCCAGCACTCCCTCCCTAGGCTGCTGTGTCGGAGCAGCCAGATGGGAAGGCCTCTTTCCCAGTTCCAAACGTCTTGTCACGGCTCGCCACCACTGGGAGCTTCCTGGGAACAGACTCCTCCGCTGCCCCGAAGCTGGGGTCCTTTAAAGGGTCAGATGGTGCATGAGAAGCGGAATGGCAGTGCGGTGTCACTGTCACATCAGGGCGAACTGCGGCAGGCACTGGAGCCACCAATGCTAAAAGCTAAATAAATGTCACACATTTTACATTTATGTCATAGTCCAAAACCTTGCTTCTTATAGTTCTGAAACCATCTACTATTGCAGATCTGTTTTGGCAAAGTGCTTTTAAAGTGCATATTTAAAAACTTTTATGTACAAAGTGCCCTATAAGCTTAGAGCCCTTTGAATCTAGTCTGTTTGAGATTTTTGACATTTTAAAGTCACAGTTTTTGAATAAATTTAAAACCTTTCAAAGTTAAAACTACAGCTATTATATATGAATGCTAAGTAATTCGACTTTATTATAGATTTTAATCATCATTGGGTTATTTCCATGATGTCAATGAGTGCAAAGCTATATGTGACAACTTATTAGCAATCTTGCAAACATGTGATTTTACATAATGTCAGCTGAAGTAATTCAGGTTAGAAAACTCATGTGAAGAGGGACCCTGATCTCTCTCCACAGCCACGCCCCCTTAACCAGTCACTCCCACTAGAATTCTGACAGCTGATATGTACTCTGGTCTGGTCTGGAACTGGATTCTCCTTTCCTTATGTCCGGTTACCGAGCCCTGATCACCTTGTGAGCGTCTGTACCAACATCCGCACGTCT